TTGAAAAGTAATTGTACCTTTGTTTTTACTTTATATTTAAAGATATAGAAATGTTGTATTTGCTATATAATTTTTTTTGATGAATCTGGTATAAGTTAGAATAGTGTAGTTTGTATATAGACTTTTTTGTTTTTTGCCTTCTACTACTTATATAAAATAGCACCTTTTTTTTTTTGTTGGCCTGTTTCAGGCTTAACTCTTTGTGTTCTTTTTTGTATAGTTATTGATTTATCTTTTTTTTTTCTTTTATATTCTTACTTTTTTTTTTTGTTTGTTTTTTGTTTTTTTTTATTACTTTGTTTTTTTTGTAATATATATTTTGTATATTTAATATAGAACTTTTTTTTTTTGCTCTTGGTAAAGAAAGGAATCAAAAGGTTTAAACTTGAGATAGGCTAATAGAGTTTTCCAAGTCTTTAGATTTTGGTGTAGCAGGTTGCAGCCAAGTATATATTACATAGCCAAGTGATGCTGAGTTTATAATATCAAATATATAATCTAGTTTCAAAATAAGAGGAAGTTTTAACCCTTTTAAAATAAATTTGTAATTGAGTTTTGGCAAGACCATCAAAGTTTTTTTTTTTAAAAAAAAGTACTTTTATAATATTCTGTATTAATTTTAATTTTTTCAAAATTTTTTAAAGCATAATAACTTTTATAAGATTATATTTATTTATTTTACTAATATATAAAAAGATAAAAATTGTATTTAGAATATAAGTATATATTAGTTTGTTTAATTTTTTTGGCATTTACTATAAACTTGTTGTAATGTTTCTAATACAAAGCTTTTTTAACTAAATTTAAATATTGGCTTGAACTTGGTATTACTAATAATTTGAATATAATAAATACACTATATTTTTTATAATCACACTCAATTTCTTTATAACCTTCTAAATCACAATACTGAACTTGTACTTTTTACTTTTCTTGTTAAAAAGAGATGTAATTTCATATAATTTATATATAAACATATTGCTTTTCTTTCTAATAACTAAAATGTCTATTTGTAAAAAATAGTTCTTAGCTAAGTTCTGAATTATCAAACCAAATACCAAATTACTTTACCAGTATATAGAATAAAACCTCTACTTTTAAATTTTTTTGATCTTAACTCATTCGTTCCCGTGTTTACTAATTTATTTTTGTGCTTGCAAAACATTATGCAATATGTCTTCTATATTGTGTAATATTCTGGTCGATCATTCAATCAGAATGAAAGCCCGAGTTGGGATTTTTGAAACGGGTCTATTCCTGACTGCTATCTGCTAATATAGGCAGACTTTCTCGTGATTGGTCAATTTTATTCAATTGAATTTATACAGTTTAGAGTACTTTTACAACCCTAATAGTAAATTTTTTTTTTCAAACTAAGAACCGGTTAATATATTTACAAAGACTCTTCGCAAAGAAAGCTTTAAGTATCTTGTGTATCTCTAGGATTCACCACATTTAAGTATACCTCATTAAGAAATGAATTTCAGTCTTGAAGAACAAGAATGTGTAGTAATTGTATATGCTGGAGTTTCTAATCAGCCCATAAAAAAAGTTACCGACTTTGTTTTAGAAAAGGCTTAGCAAAATAAAACTTTACCAGCTTATTTAAAAGTCAGCAATATGATATGTCAGTAGTGCTACAATGGAATAATCATTCGACCTTTGGCTATAATGAAAGAGCATATACAAACAATGATTAATGCTTAAGTTGCAGGTATTAAAGATAATTCAGATACAATAGTTAACACTCAGGATAATATTTCAGAGGTAATGTCTTTTTCAAATGCAATTAAATTTATTACTGATGTTTTATATCGGCATAAAGTTACTCAAAAATTGCTAGTGTTTCGAACATTTGAAGAATTTCGTACTTGCATGGAAGCTGAAAATAGGTGTTTAGAAACTTTTTTTGATGAACTCGTATTATCGATAAATTTGTCAAAAAAAAGGAATGAATCACATCCTAAAATTATGTCCCAATTGTTACTCGTTTGTTATATTCTTTGTGGTATTTGTAACAAATTTATTATTAATGTAAAGCATGATCTAGCTCTTTATCTTGATTCTTCAAATACAAGTGATTCAACCATCAATGCTTTAGCGGAACTCGGTATAACATCAACGTCGAAGACAGTTTGGCATAAAAAAAAAGAAATTTCAGAGAACTACATAGATACAATAAACAACAATTTAGAGAAATATCATGAAACTTTTATGGTTTTAAACGTGAATGATTATCATAATATACATACAAATCATGTTCCAAAGGGTAATGAAACATCAACATCAACTCACATGGCAACAATTCTTCTGAATCCAATAAATGCAATATTACCAATTCCTATTAACTTTAATGGCATAAGCATTCATAATCCAAAGCTCATCGATGCTAACTGCTTAAAGGTCGATTTAGAGAATAGATTTATGTCATTATTAGGATTATCTTTTAATGAACAATGAAAATGTCAGGTAAGTAAAAACGAGGAAGAAACTATTGAAGCATTAACAATTCATAGTTATGATCTTCAGCTTAAAGAAAGGATGAATGATCGATCATTAAATAATATCATTTTCATCGACTTTATAGAAAATAATTTGCATATTATTAATGATTATTTGGAAAGTTTGTCTATTATTAAGAAAGTAGATACTATGCGAAAATATTTCGATTCTGGTTATATTATACTTCTTGTGGCTGATTGGCCTAGCCAAATATTTATAAGAAGTGCGATATTACGGTTTTTAATATATAGCAACAGGTCTAATATTTCTCAGGACGTGTTATCATTTATTCCTATTATCAGACCATTACATATATCCTTAAACAGCCGTGAGCTTGTTTATAAACAGTATCATCCATTGTTTTCTTTATTATATAATTCTTTATTTGATAAAACAAGAGAGCTTGGAGTTAACATTCAACCCTAGAAGATTAATTTGCTTCTCGAGGTGACTTGTCATGGCTAGCTTCGAATTTCAGAAATTGTTAAGAAAAAATTTGGCCTATGTAAAGATCTTGAATACCTTGCATTAAAGGTCTTGTTGGATAATTTAATTCCACTTGTTCTTGATATATATGCACTTTTTTTTCATGCAGGCGAATGGGAAGAATAAAAAGAATCAGTAATATGGGTTTGGACACTTTTTTTATGGTTTTTTCATCATAATTATAATAAAGCGCCACTAATGTTTTTATTTGATGTTTCATATTGGAGAAATATTAATCATCCTATTTTAGAAATTTTAAAAACACATTTGCCAAAATTTTTGGATACCCCCATCGAATTATTTTATAGCCTTCTGAGACAAACTACTCAAAAGCATGATGCTGCAGATCACTTATAGCGTCAAGCACATTTTATTAATTTTTTGAGATATGAAAAATGTCTCAAAGAGTTATTTGAGTATCAATTGACGTGGAAAAAATATCCTTTAAGTCACAGAGATTTGAATAGCTATACACAAAAAGCAGCTTGTTTTTTATTAGAGTGTTTTATTAACATTTACAATCGAATTGCTACAGACGGTGTAATGAGTCTAAATTCAAACAAACTAGAAATATTAACCCAAGAAAAAAAAAGAGAAAAAAATCATAAATGAACCCAATATATCTATGCCAGCTATTGGAATTATTGCAAATACTTGTCATCTTCCTTTGGGCTTTAGCACTTTACAAAAGTCTAACCAATTAATTTTGTGTAATTATTTGTTATGTACTAAAGTAGATATACATGTATTTACTAATCTCTTATTTCCTAATTTAAAAATACTAGCCTGCGGTCACAAATATCATGTAGAATATTTGAACGAAGTTAATCAGAAATGTCTACCCTGCTTACAATTTTTACAGAATGGGATAAAGACAAATATGAATTAGTTACTAGAACGTTTGTTAGATTTGGATGATAAAAAGAAGACGAAAAATAAAAAGAAAGCAGAAGATTTTTAGGCTCAAGAAAGTAGAGTGAAAGAACTCGAAACAGAAGAACTTGAAAATGAAATGGTCGAAGACAATGAACTTATCATCTCTAGTAGTATTGGAAAAACGGAACTTGATGATTTATTGCAAAAGCTCCAAGAGCTACAATAAACAATTGTAAATAAAAAAATTGTAAATAAAAAAATTGCAAATAAAAAAAATTGTAAATAAAAAATTTTTTGTTTGTAAATAAAATTTTATTTTTTTTAAAAAAAAAAAATTAATTTATGATACTATAAATTCGAATTTACGATCTGTATAATCTGACCAATTATGGCGAGTTATTTTAATTTCACTGATCGACCAATCACGAGAAAGTCTTCCTATAGTATCTGCTACGTATTGATAGTATATCGATATGTTTTATGATTATCCAAAAATTTTTATTGGTTAATCTGTTTTTGGATATCACGTATATCACATTCAAATTCATGTGACATATTCGAATTTCCAAAATCCGCCCACGTATATTTTAGTAACAAATTAAATCATGGTTATTAAAAGATATATACTGTATATATACTAATTATATAGTTTTTAAACCGAACTTGCACACTACTATTTTAATAAAAGCTAAACATTTTAAACAACTTTGCTATTTTGATTTTTAATTCTTATATTACACAATTGTATTTTATTTGTAATATGAAAACTGCCGAAATAAATCTATAACATATCGAATTACGTTAAAAACCTGATCAAACAAATCCGGTCAAATACAGTATAAATTTTAAATTCTAAAGTGTAGTTTTCCTTTGACACTCACGTTCGTTCGTACGTATGCATATAGATCAGACGTGATTCGCAGGTAATCAATAGCGATACGGTTTACAGTACTATATTAATATATAGACGTCAACTTATTTGAAACATTCTAAACTTGCAGATCATCAAGTAGATTAATTTTTATTGGCTGATTAATTATATTGAAACAATGCTGGGAGGTTTCACAGCCTCATTTCACATTTAGACTCAGACTTCTCATTGTCAAATTTGTCTTTTTCCTTAACGTTATTATACCATGTCTTCTAGTAAAACTCATTCTGCACAGAACGCTAACTCCCAAGAGCCTAAACCACCTTCAGTACTCTTCTGTTATGGCTGCGAAAAAGAGAAGCCTACCCATTCATTCTCGAAAACGCAAATTACAAAGGCCATGGCAAATATTTATAATCGTTAGTAAAGTTCTATCAATCTTTTATATGATTGAAAAACGTTGTTAATTTTGTGAGAATTTTGGGAATGGATTGTGTGGAATATTTTGAATTTATTATTATCATAATATACTATCTTTTCTGCTTTAAGGCTACGCTCCGAAGGGTAGAACCACAAAAAGACATCATACAACTTGTAAGCAGTGTACTCCTCAGCAAAACACTTCTTTGACCTGCATGGTTTGCACCAGAACTATGCCTTTGGATAAGTTCGCTAAGGCATGTATCTTGATAACGTGTTAATCTAATATATTAGTAAGGTCATCAATTATAGTCAGATCTACTAGAAATCTCTATTTAAAACGATTATTCTGATATTTGTATACTTTTAATATATCACTTTTAGGCACAAAGAAAGAATGCAGAAAAGGCGAGGTGCATCGGTAAGTTTTAATTAAGATAGTTACAATAGACCACTGTTAGAGTTTTGAATGGATTTATTTTTATATATCGAATCCTAAAAATAAATCCAATTTTAGACTCGAATCATTTTCTATATCTTTTTAATCGCTGATGGAATTACGAAAAACTTTATCGTAATTCAATTAACGATTAAAGTGGGTTCCCATCTTTTTTGATCCACAGTATGTTTTAATAATTTTGTAGCAAGTTACTAATCCAGGCTTTTAACCTCGATTTGTAATGAAAAGAATGCATGAAAAAGCAACAAGAAGAAGACACCGATGATAGTGAAGATTACGATGAGTCAGAAGATGGATCTTATAACGAAACATGGGATGATATCTTGTAAATTTGCCGCCTTATTATATTACGTGAATATGAGCAAATTCATTTTCCCTTGTTTCTCCCGCTTTATATAATGAAAGGAAATGATACTTTTTGCCATATTTGATTTTCATGTGTGAAATAATTTTACTAAGTATACAATTTATTCAACAAAAAGGGAAAGACATTGATTGCTGAATTTTGTAACCTGCTAATAACTGAATTAAAAGACGATTTCTGTTAAACTTTTAATTGAATTAAAAAGTTCAGTTTAAAGTTTACTATTATTAAACCGAATTCAGTAAAGAACGTTAGTTTAAAATGTTAAAATTAAAATGTTAAAATTATTTATTTCTTAATTTTGTGTAATATATAGAGGTCTGATCCGATGAATACTATATTCGAATATTCACTGAATATTTGAATAAGATTTTTTTCACCAAATTGAATATTCGAATATTTAATTTATTCACCAAATAATTCATTGAATATTCATTGA